ACCCTCTCGGGCGGCGGCGCTAACAGGTGCACCTCTCTCCCGCAGTGACCAGCTCCGCCGCACGACCTGGCTGCACCCGCGCACCGGGGAGCCCGTCAACTCGGGCCACATGATTCGCTCAGGTGGGCGCTGGGTCGGCGGGGAGGGGGGCGCGCGCGGCGGCGGCCGGAGTTTGACTGGACTTTTCTCGCGTTTCCGCAGACCTGCCCCGCGGCTGGGAGGAGGGCTTCACGGAGGAGGGCGCCAGCTTCTTCATCGAGTGAGTGAGTCGCGGCCGACGCACCTGTGCGGCGGTCCCGCCGCGGCCCCAGCACCCCGCCCCCCTCGCGCCCGCGCCGGTCCGGGGCGAGTTGGCGCGCACGGCGGCGCGGCCGCCCTCGGGGGTTTTGTGTGCCCGAGTTGTGTGGCGGGCTCCGGGAGGCGGGGGGACGGGGTCCGGGGTCCAGCCCCCAGCCGAGGCGAACGGGACTCGGGCGCTGGTGTGAGGGCCGGACACGCCTCCCCGCTGGGGTCTCGGGCTGCGCGGAGCGGACAGGGGCGGGGACCCAGACCGGGCTGGACTGGGATGGGAGCGTAGAACTAGGAGTTCTGTCCCGGGCCGGGGCCTGCGGAGCTCGGGGTGCGGGGAGGAAGAGACGAAGGGAATCTGGCACGGGGAGACCGCCCTCTCGGGCCACGTTTTCTGGGACTGTTGGGGCGAGTCGGAACCGCACCTCCGGCCTCCATCCACTGTGCGGGCCTGCAGGGAGGGAACCGGGCGACCAATAATATTCCTCGAAAACTCCGCGTCTCTGGCCAGTGCTGCACAGCGACAGTCATTCGTGCCTCTGTTAGTCAAGCTGTTGTTTTTCGCCCAAAGCCCTGGGGTATTGCCTCACTAGCCAGGTTATCCCGGGTCTGTAGCATCTGTAGACATCAGATCGCGGGGCAGTAAGTTAAATAAACCGCCTTTCAAACGATAGCATTGGTATAGACTTTACTTCCCAACTGCAGGCTGGAGGCTGTGTTGCAGCGTTTTTCACTTTGCCTGCTGAGCTCCATGAGGTCAGAAACTGCCTTTGATCCTTTGCCCTAGTGCCTGGCATAGAGTAGGCCCTCGGTAAATGTTTGCTCACTGAATGAATGAACTAGCCAAAGGTCTGCACGGTCGTCTATGTACTGGGTGTACTTTGGGGAACTGTGAGTCACAATTCTTTACATCGCGAACTTGAAAACAGCAGTGGAGCAGCATATTTCAATAAAATCCAGGAACCTCTTTCCTTGGTTTGGGCTCTTGCACAATGGTTGAAAATACTGATGGGTGAGATTTGTAGAAGTGAGGCACAGGGCCTTAGCTGTGGTTCTGTTGTCCTGCCTCTTACTGTGTGTGTGAAGTTGGGCAAGCAGGATGGGATGGATCCTCAGGGCCTCTGTCAGTGGGCCTCTCTGGCTCATCTCTGCATCAGTTGATATTATTAAAATTTCCCTATGTGTTACACATTGTTCCAGGCATTGGGACTAGAGTAAACAAAGTTTTGGGTGCTTATGGAGTTTGTAATCTTGTAGGGGTGGGAAGGGAGCAGAAAATAAGAAAATAAACAGGGAATAATACCAGATTTTTCTTTCTTTCTTTCTTTTTTTAAAGTCAGTTTGTTGCTCTCAGTAGAGTGCTGTGAAGTCACAGCTCACAGCAACCTCTTGAGCTTAGGTGATTATCTTGCCTCAGCCTCCCAAGTAGCTAGGACTACAGGTGCCTGCTACAGTTCCTGGCTATTTTTTTGTTGCAGTTTGGCCAGGGCCAGGTTCGAACTCTCCACCATTGGCATATGGGACTGGCGCCCTACTCACTGAGCCACAGGCGCTGCCCATCTTTTTTCTTTTTTTTTTGAGACAAAGTCTTATTCTGTCACCCTGGGGCTGAGTGCTGTGGCGTCATTATAGCCATCATAGCTCACAGCAACCTCAAACTCTTAGGCTCAAGCAGTCCTCATGCCTCAGCTTCCTGAGTAGCTGGAACTATAGGCACCAGCCACAATGCCTGGCTAATTTTTCTATTTTTAATAATGAAGGGATCTCACTCTTGCTAAGGCTCAGGCTGATCTCAAACCCCTGAGCTCAACCAATCCCTCCACTCAGCCTCCCAGAGTGCTGAGATTATAGGTGCGACAGAGTCTATACCCGGCCAGAGTCCATTTCTTTAAGTCAGAAACCCAGAGCTAAGGTGGGTGAATTTTATTTTTTGGTTTAATTTTGCATTAATGAGGGACAAAAGATATAAGAAATCTACTTCTGATTCTCCTAATTCTAGACTAGGTGATGCCAATATCCCCCTTTAAAAAGACTTTTTGTACTTTAGGACTTCTCTACTTCCCCATGATTCCCTCGGCTATTTAGCAAGGTATAATAGTAATTGTGATACCAGAGTCATTAACAGCAGTAGCAATAATAGTAGTAGCAATTGTGTAAAAGCCTAATCTTTTCAAGTTCTTGAAAAATGCCAAGAACTATTCTATAACTGTAACTGTAACTTTTTTTTTTTTTGAAACAGAGTCTCACTCTGTTGCCCAGGCTAGAGTGCTGTGATGTCAGCCTAACTCACAGCAACCTCAAACTCCTGGGCTCAAGGGATCTCCTGCCTTAGCCTTGTGAGTAGCTGGGACTACTGGCCCCTTCTCGTGCCCAGCTAATTTTTCTATTTTTATTTATTTATTAATTTTTGTTGAGACAGAGCCTCAAGCTGTCACCCTGGGTAGAGTGCTGTGGCATCACAGCTCACAGCAACCTCAAATTCTCTTACCTCTGCCTCCCAAGTAGCTACGACTACAGGCGCCCACCACAACACCTGACTGTTTTTTTTGGTTGCAGCTGTCATTGTTTGGCGGGCCCAGGCTGGATTCAAACCTGCCAGCTTAGGTGTATGTGGCTGGTGACTTAGAGCCTAATTTTTCTATTTTTAGTAGAGACAGAGTCTCACTCTTGCTCAGACTAGTCTCAAACTCCCAGAGTGCTACGATTATAGGCATGAGCCATTGCACCCACCATTCTGTAACTATTATTGATTTAATTCTCACCATAGCTTGATGAAGTAGGAATTTATTACTAGTCCTATTTTATAGACTGGAAACATGCAGGAATCCTGGACATTTCTGCAGCAAAGGGAAGATGGCTTTTTCGTATACCCTTTCTTATTTGATCCTTATAACAGTTTCTAGATGGAGCAGGACAGGGATGATCTTCATTCTTCAGATTATGAAACTCAGGTCCGTGAAGGTTCAGTGATTTGGCCAGAGGTGGGTCTAGGGGTGTCTTAAGCTGCAATCCATGGCTGCATGCTGATTGTTTGAGGACTGTTTATGTGGTGCCAGATTCCATGAAAATTATTTCTTTCTTTCTACTTTTTTTTTTTTTTTTTTTTGCTTATAAACTGGGTTAGTGTTTATATATTTAATATGTGGTCCAAGATAATTCTTTTTCCAATGTGGGATAGAAAAGAAGAAAAGGTTGGACACCCCTGAATAGATCTTTAGGTTTTCTTGAGTTAATCATAGTAGTGCAGGTGGTTCCTACCCCAGGTCATGCATGGGTGAGAGCCAGTGTCAGTGCTTGAAGGAGACTCAAGCAGCCTCCTCTGGCTTCTTAAACTCATAACCTTAGTGGCCTGCATCTGGGGATTGGGATATCTGTTGGCCATTGGACTCGGCCCCCTTTTCTCCCTGGCTACAGGGCCTTGGCATCCTCTGTGATATGGCTCTGGGGTCCTGGCAGGAACCGGCTGATTTTACAAGGTTCCTTTTAGCTTTTGGTTCCTCCGTTATAGCTTTGGGGCTTTACAGGGCTGTCTTGTGTAGGTGCCATTCTCCCTGTAGGTTCCTGTTCCTAAATGAAGATAGTGAGACTCTTGGGAAAGACATTTCTGAGGCATGGAGTAAGTCCTTTCTCTCCTGCTCCTTATGCCTGAAGCAGGTCTTAGATGCGGGACTGGCTTCATAATTTATGGGGCCTCAATGCAAAATGAAAATGCAGAAAGAAAGATAAAGGTAACTTTAGGGATACTAAAATAGGAAACTTTTTCTTCTGTAGTTCTTCCTTTGACTTGTAATCGTTTTTAAAAGTTTGCTATTTAATGTCATTCTAAGTAAAGAAAAATTAAGTTTCAATTATTAACATAAATTTTACAGTTCATCTCTATATTGTTAATATAGTTTTAAATGCAGACGTAAGAGCATTTACCTCATATGTGTATGCTAGGAACCTGCACCACCATGCTCCACTCTAAGATACCATGGTGCACAAGTGCCTATGTCCAGATCCCCCCGACCCCTATGGGTAGGGAATGGGGAGCCATGGCTTGGCCTGGGGCTCCAGGAAGCTGGGAGGAGGCAGTTAAGGAACTGGTCTCTGGAGGCAAGGTATGAGGACCAGGCATGAGTGAAGACTTCATACCTTCTTCAGAGAGATGCCAAGTAGCGAGGGCAGTGATTTTCAACTGGTGTGCCAGGAGAGGATCTTGGGGGTGCCACAAAAATGTTTAAAGATCATTAATTAAATTATTTTTGAAAGAAGTTCAAAGTATAATAAGTATATCCTTTTTTAAAAAATCAATATAATTTAAGTGTGCCATGAGATAGAAAGATAAGAAAAACACTGCTCTAGGGTGTATGTTTTATATTTAACAACCTGTTTTTCAGTCTGAAATTAAAGAGAGAGGAGGAATTTGGAGTGAAAAATGAACCAAGTGTGACGGATGTCCAGGTGGGGATTCTAGTCGGCTGTAGGCACCAAGCCTAGAAGGCCCTTCAGGAAAGCCAGTGACACTGGACAGCCCAGAAAGCTGCCTCCGTGAAGTTTAATTCTGCCATCACCCACCAGGCAATCTTCTAAGACACCCCTCGGAAGGAGTTTGTCCTGTCTTCCACATTGTCCCTCCCAGACAAAAGTTGAATTTCATGTTAGGGAAATTTGTCTTGTAGAGACCCAAACCTATTGGTTCATTTATTTTTTTTTTTTTTTAACCTTTCTTATTGACATGTTGCTGGGAACCGCAATGCCAGAAATTTTATTTCAAACAGGTAACAGCCCCACAAAGACTTTCTGGCAAACCAGCAGCTTACATATATTTTAAATGGGAATTCTGAAACCTCTCATTGTTGAAGGTTAAGTTCTTCTAGCTTGGCAAGTTTTGGCAAAATCCCACACTCTGTGTTTCATTTCCTGGTTGTTTTATCAAGAGTGAAAACTGGTTCATGGATTTAAATGTTAGGTTCTGTGGGAAAAGAATAA